AAAAAAAAAAAAAAAAAAAAAAAAAAAATACAAGAAATTATTTCAGTTTTCTTTATTTATTAGATGTATTTTGTATCCCAATATTTTAGTATAGGTTTCATGTACTGAGAATGTATACACTCTAGTGGTTGGGTTGGAATGTTCTGTACATATATATTAGATCCATTTGATCTATGATGTCATTTAACTAATTGTCTATTCATTTTTTTTACATGATCTATCCATTGGTGAGAGGGGGGTGGTGAAAGAAGTCGAGTATTGAAACTGCCTACTGATAGTGTGTGTGTGTGTGTGTGTGTGTGTGTGTGTGTGTGTGTGTGTGTGTGTTAATCTGTTACTTTACATCTAGAAGTATTTGCTTTGTAAAGGTGAGTGCATCCAAATTTAGTGCATATATAATTAAGATTGTAATGTCTTGATGGATTGTCCCCGTGGTCCGTATGAAGTGTCCTTCTTTCTTCTAGTTTGAAGACTATCTTCTTGGTGTGTTTTTGCCCATCCTTTCACTTTGAAGTGGTTTCTATCTCTGGTGGTGAGGTACGTTTCTTGGAGGTTTGCTAGCCTGTGTCTTAGTTGGAATGTTAAGACCATTGATGCTTAGAGTTATTCTTGAAAGATGTATATTGATTGCTGTTGTTTTGTTGATTTTATTGTTTTTCTTAGGTTTTCTCGTTACTACTTCTTGAATATGCCTAACTCTTCCATCCAAAGTATTACTTGACCTTATCCTTTGTGAGGCTGGCTTGGTGATCATAATTCCCTTTAACCTACCTTTTATCTTGGCAGGTTCTTCTTTCGCCTTTGATTATCACAGATAAATCTGTACTGGAATCAGTAGTCATTCAGACTTGTAAAACATCTGTCCAAGCCCTTTTGGCTTTATAGTCTCTATTAAAAAATCAGATGCTGTTCTCGTGACTTTGTTTCTCTCTTGTAGCTTTTAATATTCTTTCTTTGTTTTGAACATTCAGTGTTTTGACTACTGCATGTTGTCTTTTTGGTTCTGTTTATTTGGTGTTCTTTATGCCTTTTGCACTTGGCATCTTTTTTCTTAGATTTGTGATTTTTTTCCCTATGATTTTGTTGAAAATATCATCTGTAAGGTGGGGTTTGATGGCATACAGTTTTAATCCTAGTGCTTGGGAGACAGAGACAAGTGGATCTCAGTGAGTTCAAGGCCAGCAGGTCTACATAGCGACAGGATAGTCAGAGCTACATAGTGAGACCCTGTCTTAAAAGACCAAAAGGAGCCAAAACAAACAAACAACAACAAAAACAAGCAAGAAAAGAGAAAATGTTTTCTTAAATATTTTTATTTTATTATTTAATTATGCATGTATATGTGGGGGTGGTGTGAATGCTGGGATTAAAGCCCTGTTCCACCCTGTCCCACCTTATGTTACTTTTCTATTAGTGTGACAAAATACCATGACCAAGGCAACTTATAAAAGAAAATATTTAACTTGGGGCTCACAGTTCCAGAGAGTTAGAGTCCATGGCCATCACGGCAGGCTGCATGGCACTTGGAGCAGTATTGGGGAGCTTACATCCCTGTGTGCAATCAGGAGGCAGAGAGATTTGTGAAGACACTCAGGTTTTTGAAGCCTATAAAAGCCCACCAGCAGTGACCTCCTCTAAGCAAGGCCACACCTCCTAACACTTTCCAAGCAGTTCCACTGACTTTGGACAAAATGCTCACACATAAGCCTGTGAGAGCAGTTCTACTTCAAACCACCACTGTTAGTTGTGAGCAACCTAATGTAGGTGCTGGGAATCGAACTCGGGTCTTCTACAGGAACAGTGTGCTCTCTTTACTGCTGAACCAGCCCCAGGTTTGGTGTGCCAGAGTTCTGCATGTTCTGTTTGTGTTTCTTTCTTTTTCTTTTAGACTTACCATTTCTTTGATTGAGCAATCCAATTCTTCTCCCTTGTCAGAATGTTCTTCTACTTGATCAATTTTTTTTTTATAAAGCTCCCCATTAGCTTTTTACTTGATTTACTAAGTTTTTTTACTTCCAGTTTTCTTTTAGTTTGGGTTTTCTTTAGAAACTTTATCTCTTTACTAAATTGTATTCTCATCTTGACTTGCTTTCTTTGTTTCATTTGACTATTTGTGTTGTTGCAGCCTCCAGTCCAGCATTTAGTCATAGTTCCTTTTAGTTCCTTGGACATATTTATAATAATTTATAATTCTACTTTGAAATGATTGTGTGTCATCTAAGTTGCTTTTCTCAGGAAATATTTCTATGGGAATCCTACATTTTGGAGGAGGCATGTTATTTTGGTTTTTCATGTTTGTGGTTTTATGATGAGACTTAGACATCATAGGTCATTGGTAATGTGTTTTTTATTTATTATTTTTTTTGGTATGGATATCTGTCTTACCTTTTTGAGTTGGATGTTTGGATCTCAGTTGCTATTACCCCAACTTGTCAGGTTTTGGATCAGTCGAGGTTAGTCTTGGGGCCATTCAGTGATGATGTGCTAATGGGGTGTTAGAAGTGTTCTTAGTTCAGCTATGGCTAGTTTCAGCTTCTGAGCACAGGAGCAAACCTTCGATGAGTTAGCAGGTTCTTGCTACAGATCACTGTAGAGTTCTACAGGCGGCCAGTAGGTGGCAGGGGCAGGGTGGTCATAGTGGTGAGGGCACTGTCTGAGGGAGGTGCACATGATTCTGCAGAAGTCTTCAGGTGGAGGTGCTGGGTGACACCTGGGGACTGTGTGCAAGATTCCATCAAGTAGGTCATTGTCTTAGGGTTTCTATGGCTGAGATGAAATACTGTGACTGAAGCAACTTGTGGAAGAACGGGTTTATTCAGCTTTCTTTTCCACATCACTGTTCGTCATCAAAGGAAGTCAGGACAGGAACTCAAACAGGGCAGGAACCTGGAGACAGGAGCAGATGCAGAGGCCGTGGAGGGGTGCTGCTTACTGGCTTGCTCCTCCTTGCTTGCTCAGCCTGCTCTCTTATCAAACCCAGGACCACCAGCCCAGGGGTGACACCACTCACAATGGACTGGACCCTCCCCCATTGGTCACTAATTAGGAAAATGCCTTACAGCTGGAACTTATGGAGGTATTTTCTCAGTTGAGGTTCCCTCCTCTCTAATGACTCTAGCTTGTGTCAAATTGACGTAAAACTAGCCAGCACAGTCATCAAGAGGTGGGTGTGGGATCACAGCAGAGGTGATAACTTGTATAGTTTTATTGTGGACTCCTTCCTCCTTACTTTTGCCGTCAGGTGCCTTTAGCCTTTTGATTTGTTATATTTTACTTTTCCCTTAAAGGTAACATAAAGTTTGTAGACCTAATCTGAGTGACTCAGTGGGGGTGTTGTTTGTTTATCTTTTTGATTGTTCTGGCATTTGAATCCAGGGTTTTGTGCATGCTAGGCAAGCACTGCTCTATTGAGTACAGCCATAGCTCTTACTTTGAGACTTCCTTTTTTTCTCCCTTTAATTCTCTTGATAATCTTGTATTTGAAGTGAAAGCATTATTTCCCTTTTGAGAAACTTAAGTGGAGAGTGGCTAAATACTTCAGCAGGAGCACATAACTTACAGGTGACAGAAGTCACCTCACCTCCATGCTTTCTTCATTTCCTTTTGCCCCATCCCTGATCTCTGATACAATACCCATGAGTTCTTTGTGTGTTACTTTGAAATATAAGATGTTGTTTTTTCTTCGGGAGATAAAAATTTATCCTAAGCTCTCACATTTATGTCTGTCTGATAAACAGCTTCTTGCTGTTCATTTTTTACTTTGCAGTGAGTAAATATCCTTTCATGATAAACCTTTTGACTTAAATTTTTCCTTTTTTCTAAAGTTTCATTTTTATTCTGGCTTTCTTTGTATATTTCTGTCCTCTGAACATGCCTAATCTACATCCTAAGAAATATGTCCTGGAAATTTGCCATTTCTATCTAAAGCAAGGAAAGTTGTCACATACTTTGGTAGCTTGGTACAGGTGGCCCTGGTGTGCTTAAGTTCTTGTATCAATTCTGTCCAGTAAGTGTGCATCTCCTGATTCCCGATATGAACTGTGCCTTGGACTTCCCAGTCTATAAATAAATGATTATGGCAGAGTTTCCAAGTTAAAAACCCTTTTTTTTCTGGTCACCAGGTTAAGAGGAAATACAGTGTGGCAATGTTATTCTCAAGCTTATAGTTTGTGCTTATCCCTTGATAATTTTTGTATTGCTTTTAATTATATAGAAGCCCGACTACTGCAGTCAGACAGTGTCTGTGCTGTGTGGCAGGTTTTTTGAGACAGAGTTTCTCTGTGTAGTTTTGGAGCCTGTCCTGGAGCTCGCTCTGTAGACCAGCCTGGCCTTGAACTCATAGAGATCCGCCTGGCTCTGCCTCCCGAGTGCTGGGATTAAAGGCAGTGCTGGGATTAAAGGCGTACGCCACCACCCGGCCCGTGTTTTGCACTTTACAAAGGCCTTAATCTAAATGTTGGGTGCATCACGTACTATCAACTGATATGGGGCCATCTTCCATAACCATTCTAAGTTTTCAGCTCCTTATTTGTTTTTTTTGTTTTTTTCGAGACAGGGTTTCTCTGTACAGTTTTGTGCCTTTCCTGGAACTCACTTGGTAGACCAGGCTGGCCTCGAACTCACAGAGATCCGCCTGCCTCTGCCTCCCGAGTGCTGGGACTAAAGATGTGCGCCACCACTGCCCGGCTCAGCTCCTTATTTGTAAGATTGGGGGGAAATACTACCAGCCTCTGGCTACTTATGCAGATTCTATATGATAATAAGTATAAAGTATAGAATAGAATAGAATAGAATAGAATAGAATAGAATAGAATAGAATAGAATAGAATAGAATAGAATACAAAGTTTAAAAGTTCATAGACCCATCATCAAGGAATTTATTCTATCGGAAACAAAAAATAGTCTTGTTTTTAAAAATTGTGTTTTGAGGACTGGGAGCTTAGCTCAGTGTTTGGGAACTTACCTAAAATGCACAGAGTCCTGGTGTCTCTCGGTACAGGAAAAGTAATGTGGGTTGCCATATCAGTATGTAAATCCAGAAGTTCAAATAATGAAATTTAATGGAAGTCCTAGCACATCAAAGACAGGAGCAGAAATGATTATTGCCTGGTATTTTATTTAGATAGATACATATTTGTGACATTGAATACTAAGTCTGACTTTTAATCACATTTAACATTTAAGATTATAAAGTTGTTTTGTTGTTGTTGTTGTTGTTGTTGTTATTGTTGTTTCGAGGCAGGATTTCTCTGTGTAGCTTTGGAGCCTGTCCTGGAACTAGCTCTGTAGACCAGGCTGGTCTCGAACTCACAGAGATCCACCTGGCTCTGCCTTCCGAGGGCTGGGATTATAGGCGTGTGCCACTGCCGCCCAAGTTTAAGATTAAAAAGTTTAAAGTGGACATAATCACAGAATTCTGCAGAAGTCCTCAGGTGCTGGGTGATACCTGGGTAATATGTGGGTGATACTCTGGTATCTGATTCAATAGGGCTGCCAAGCTCATGACTAACCTGGACTTCATAGGGAGCCTATGTCTTGAGAAAAAAAGTGTGTGTGTGTGTGTGTGTGTGTGTGTGTGTGTGTGTGTGAGAGAGAGAGAGAGAGAGAGAGAGAGAGAGAGAGAGAGAGAGAGAGAGACAGA